CTGATTATATGAATAAAGTCACTGAACACAGTGAAATGGGTCCATATGAGGAAATTAAGAAACCTGTAGATACAATAATGAATAAGATTAAGAAATCTACAGAGGATTTAATACGTAGTATGAAGCTGTCACTGGGTGAATCTAAATGGTCTAATTTAATGACTAAAACTAATAACGTTAGCAGAATATATGGTACTACAGAAATTCATAAACCAGGTTACCCCATAAGACCAATAGTAGATTTCAGAAATACGCCGACGTATGAATTATCAAAACACTTAGCTCTAATACTATGCCCCATTAGAAATCATTTAAACTCTAGGCTAACTAATCCACATGGAGTGAAAAAGAAACTAAATTACATTTAAATAAAGAATAATGAAAAAATCATCAGTTTTGATATAACGAGTCTGTACAATATATTACCAGTCAATATAGCTTAGAAGCAGTTAAAAAAGAACTGACTGTGGGTTCTGAACTCAATCATAGGACAAAGCTACCCATTGAACAAATTATTTTAGGGATTCAGTTATGCCTCACATCTACTATCTTTAAATTCCAAGGTAAAATATATAGACAAACAGAAGGTGTAGCAATGGGATCACCAATATCCCCTATTGCAGCAGACATATTTATGGACACCTGGGAAAGTAGTGGTCTTAATACGTTTAATCCTACTCCAAAAATATGGTGGAGATATGTGGATGACATTTCACAGTGTTAAAAACAGAACATATCACTAGCTTCATTGACACACATAAACCCACTAGTACAGGGAATAAAATTCACATTTGAATCGGAAAATGAACAAGGAGAATTGGCTATGTTAGATTGTAAGATAAAACGAACAGAAGAAGGTAAACTGCACACTGGTGTGTACAGAAAACCAACTCATTCTAATAGATACTTAGACTTTAGTTCATCTCATCCGTTGTCTGTAGAGGGGAGGCTTAGTTAAGTGTTTAACAAACCGAGCAATAGCACTAAGTAGTATAAAAAAAGACCTGAATGATGAAATGAAACAGATAGAAGAAGCGTTGGTATCAAATAACTAACTATCCTATAAAATTCATTAGGAATACCAAAAAAGGTCAAAAGCAAATTAGAAATAATGGTGAAACTAATAATGATAACATAAATAAGAAAGAATATAAGGCATCTACAGTTTTGCCATATGTGGAGGGGACATCTGAGACTTTATGTAGGATTCTAAATAAAGCAGGAATTAGGGTGGCATTCAAAACCTACAAGCTCACTCAGAGACAAGCTCTGTAGGCTTAAGGACCCAGTGGACTCAATTCAACAAAATAATATAATTTACAAAATACCTTGTAATATCTGTGAGTTAGGTCAACTACATAGGTCAAACTAGTAGATCAGGAGTAGTGAATGAATAAATGATTGATCCCAAGAAGATAAGTGATTTAGGAAAAAACTCAGCAATCGCACTGCATGCGTTAACATACAACCACACAACAGAATGGAACAGCATGAAAATTCTAAAGAGTAATATAGGTAGGTGGAGAGATCGATTACTGAATTCTGGTTCTTTGAGTTTACACCCAACACATGCAACAGAAATGACTCAATGCAAATACTAGAAATATGGAAGATATTATTACCACCAGTCAAATCAGGGGAGGGTAATAAATAATCTTAAAATTCTATTTCAGTTCATATACATCATAACATTCTAACAATTTACTTATTTTGACTATAAAGACACTAGTCTTATTTCCCATCTGATTGTATTTGATCAATAACACTAATATTATTATTTCTGAATGTACATTATCTTATACTGATTTTTATTCAAAAATATCTAATCAATTCCACTCATGTATATAAATGAAAGAAAAAAAGTTGTGTGAGTAACTTGATATGATTATGAGCTCGAAACGTGGTCATCAGTTAATATTACTGTACAACACTATCAAAATAAAATCTTATTCATAATGGAGTTATACTCTACTACAGTGCCCAAGTTTTATACTTATATCAAGAACGATAGAGTCTTTTGGGTTGAAGACACCAAAGGCTTGTAGTTTCTTTCAAGCATAGTAATCGATAAAATAATATTATCTGAGATGCACTTGTCAGGTCTCAGGTGATTAACACTGTTTCGATACAAGTACCTGTCAATTTAATCCGTCTGACCTTTCGATGGTGCTAATGTATATGTAGAAAGCTTGAAGTACTATTCCAGCATATTATGTTGCCCTGGAAAATTTTTTGTTCAAGTATTACTTTGATTTCAGTTGTTATCCGAATAATAAGACTCTCTTAGCAGCGTTTCATAGAGTTAGGTGAACAAAATGATTCTTTTACACATCGTTATTCTTCATTCATCAGAATGTCCTTCAATAAATCTGAAAAAAAAGAACATGAAAACTGAACACACCTGATTGATAAAATCTAGAATTTGTCAGCAAAACAGAGAGATAACCACGCAGAAAAATACAGCCTAGCAAAGTCGTATAGGAGTCGTTTCACTGAACTACTAGCCATATTTATGATTTGAGTTCTATATTAATAGCCATTAATTGAAACTGAGGTATGATAGCACTGGCTAGTCCAATGAAGTGATCATATTAACTGCAGTGAGCCATATCATTACATTTAAGATTTCTTATGAGAACTGACTACATACACTGGGTTACTGCACTTCACACACCAGTGTAACAGAAAATTTGTAACATAAATTAAAGTATGCTAGATTTGGAAGCCACTGACACTTAAAATTATTTACCAAAATAGTCTGAGAACTTATTGTGTAGCTCCGCGTAAAAGTGGTTATCGTGCAGTTAACGAGAAACTTCAAGACCTCCGTGTGTAAAACTAGTGAAGAACTGACAAGGAAGTCCTACTTAGTGTAAGCTTTTCATTAAGGAGTTTTACAGAAATGTGATCAAATAGGAATTTTCGTCATCTTCACATCTGCTCGTTTACGCATATTACACAGGTGCACTGACCAACAAGGCTGAAAAATGTTCACAATATAGTCAACTTACATAAATTAGTTTAAAAAGCAGTTATATGACTGATTCAAAATTTAGAATCAGTAAATCACCTCGTCAACTAGTGATTTCACATGTTTAAGGACTAAGTATACTTATGAAGATTCATTCGTAATTTATTCCGCCTAAACCTTGAAATTTCGAGGGTGATATGGAGATCGTGTAAGCAGAAGATGAAGCCTTATGGGAAATCGTGGGGACAAGCTGAAGAGGACTGCAGAGAACAGGACAAAATAGAGACGCGCTGATAAAGCTCCACTTTCCACTCGGAACCCATGGGAATAATAATGAATAATTATAATAAAACTATTTAGACAAACAGATGTTTCCGACTTATTTATTTTCCTGAATGTAACCGAATACCACTAATCAGTCTGGCTATAGTGAGATGTTCTGTGCTTGATCTCAACTCAAGCAAACTCTGTATTACTTGTTTACATAAATATAATTAGTTATAAATGACACGTCAAATGCGTTTTCTAAAGTGACCTATCGCTCATATATGAAATGTCCTTTGACGGCTCTATCATATCTAAGTGATCTTTTAAGTGTAATACTGATACCGTGGAAAATATCAATCGAGACATTAGATTGAAAAGAACAAGAAGTTCAGCAAATATCTTTTCGGCGATTTCATTCTCAAAAGCTGTACAATCGCATTTACCTACATTAGTTTACGTGGATACAATTATTATTTGTTTAATTCCACATAGTAATGAAGGTGATAATAATTTTCAACTTGATATGAAAGTTTGAAGGTAAGAATACAGATTACAAGGGGCTTAGAAACAAGATTGCATAGGATTGATCAGAAAACAGTTACAACGTATGCAAAATTAATATTTGATAACTGGAGAAATAATTTTAAAGGTGAATAAAAGGTGACAATTATTTTCAACTTGATATGAATTACAGGAGGCTTAAAAACAAAACATTACATAGGATTAGAATATAACTGTAAAATGGTTATTCTAAACGGATTACAAGTGTGATCAGGAGGAGCATGGAAACAAAAATAGACTTAAAAATACTGATTTTATAACTGCAAAAAAAGAGGATGGATTGAATAAAGACAAAGAGAGAAAAACACACACAGAGAACAAAACTAAAACTGAAGGATCCGGGAACATACCGAACTAGGTCCACGGTAGTTGTAAAGGCTGGACTAGTTTCCTTTGAACACACAGCTCCGGCTTTTCTATGCATATGGCAAGAGCTTCTGCAGTACAAAGAAGTCGGAAACACACTGCCTTTGGTAGATTTTTTGTTTACTTTGTAAATGACTCTGAATGATGAGTCAGTTGAGATGCTGTGACGGATATTGACGAGGTGTTCATTTATGGCGCTTCTGATTAAACCAGTGCCTCCTCTTTGCATTCATGCTGGATGATGTTCTCTAACACATTTTGATAACACCTATGCACCTGGCTCCGCACGAGCAGGTGAACTAATATGTGCACATTGAAGTGGTCATATGCAGAAGTCTGTCCTTCCCGTTGCTCCAAAGTAGTGGGCAGCTAGAGAATACCACTCTTAGTGTTGCTACAGGAGAAGTCTTCTTCAGGGAATTGGAGATTCTTCTTTTAAGGATATCTGCCGCTAGGTCTTCTCTGAATTCCAAATTCAAATGAACTGTTTTCTTTGGTACTGAAGTGCATTCTTCTCTGTTTGGCTTTGGTTTCATGTTCTTCTCTACGAAACGCGGTGGGTGCTTCTGAGAAATAAGCGCTCTTCTTCTAAACAGTCATCGCTACAGATTCTTCTGGTACGGTGGGTTAGCAAGATGATGAGAGCTCTTTTACGGCTGGTATGTATCCAACTGTAGAAGAATGAGTGAGAAAGAAGTCGCCGAAAAGATACCTTTGCTGAACTTCTTGTTCTTTCCCCTCTAATATTGATATATCTAATGAACGAAATTTAGTGAAATTACAAATTACTGTAGTGGGTATAGTAATGCATGCCATTATTTGTCTTTCCTTTTAGATATATGCGTCTTTGCACCCAAAGGTGATGTGACAAAGACACAGAAAAGCCAAAAGCCTTCATCCAGAACAGACAACAGAAGGACAATAAAGAAATCAAATAATATAAGGACTGATCAAAAGAATGCAACACCATACAATTCTAGCTCACTTAATAACAAGGTATCATCCTGTGGACTAAACGATAAAGACAGAGAAAATGCTATTAAAGTGAGTAGAGGCAGAAAGCTTCGTAATTAGGGGGAAGGATAAAACTCAAAGTAGCATCATAATTACCGAGAAGATTGACATATTGTGCAATTGGGGGTTAGAAATGTAGAAACAACAAAAGTAGGCAGGATGTTTGGTTAAAAAAATCTAGAGGGATCATAAGTAATGTGACGAATAATTGTTTATGCAATCAGAGATTAAATATGTAGAAATAATAAAATGAAAAAATAGACAGGAAGTTCGGATATGAAAATATGGTAGTGTAAAAAGGGATTAAGAAAAACCTAAAAATAACAGGAATAAACAGGAAGTTTGTATGAGAAAGGCAATGGGATCGTCATTACTAAATCCTTCCTGTCTATTTTGTCATTTTATTATTTCTACATATTTAATCCCTGCTTAGTAATTAATTATACCACCGAATCACACACTTCGAGACAATTTTACAGATGACAGTGTGAAAATAACCATTCTGGAGACACTAACCTAGCTAGGCTAGGTTATAGGGTTTATGTGATGAATGTGCTGACATCTAGTAAACGGGCTGACAGCAAATTAGGAGCTTTATTAAAGTCAGTTAAAAAAGAAAACACAAAATTGACGCTCAACGCTTGGACATTTCACTTCGTTGGAAAAGAAGACAATAAACATATCCCATTTACTGGTTTTCTTTTCTCAAATACTGAAACAGACTAATAGCTCTATCGGTGTGATTACAGGCAGACTAGCCTTTTTTCTGATCATATTTACTTTCATATCTTTGGCTTTACCATCCACTTCATTCAGTCAGTGAGAGTGAAGTACTGAAAACTTCCAAATAGTGACAAAACAATAAAGCAGCATCTTTTGACTGTTAATATGATTATTCAACCGACGCTGACTTGTGATTCAGTAGTTCTACCAAATATTCAGCGTGTTCTTTAGTGAATGAATTGTCATCTAGTTTTTGCGCTTATTATCAGTTAGAATGAGTGCATTTACGAAGGACACGAATTGAAATTATTGTATTGGGATGTAATCTGGATATAAACCTAGCAAAGCAATTAATTCTGGGAGTTATGCTACGAAAACCATAGGAAAGCGCATTTATAAGAGTGAAACATTAGTTGCTGCTATATTTAAATATTTGATTTGTACACAGGAACGACTTCTTGGTGTGTATGTGGCAATTACATCTGAATAATTGCATACCATTATGCATAGCTGCACAAAACTGACTAAGCGCCCCAAATGAGTGAAATTGCCGTTCTCTGTTTAGATCACCTTGATCTTGGTAGCAAGTTTAGCTAGATGATGTGACTGGTAACCAGCAACTCATATCAATCAATGATTTGTAGATAGCACCGTATAAAATTAACTAATCGTTGGTTGAAGGCTTCATTCGCGCACAAAGCCCAAGTTAGATTGTGCTTATTGGTGTTAACAATGGAAGGTTGTGCGTTTCCGCTCTACTTCTAAAAGCAATAGTTATTTTACTTATTTAAGCAAACTTGGTACGATATGGGCACCAAGAGATATAGCGAAATAGATAGAGTGGGGGACACATAAAGGAATTGATGCAGTCGTTGTTGTGCAAAGTTTAACAAAACCCCACACCTCAACATACTGAAATTCTTTAGGCGTAAATTTTGAGACTCCACAAATTCCATGCACTTCGTTTTACATTTAGGCTTGGCATCAAGCTAAAAACAGAGAATACATGAAAAGGAAAATAGAAGAGTCTGAAAAACGCAAAAGGGAAGAAGAATATGCCCGTAAAAAAGAGGTAAGGAAAATTACTGTGAGTAGAAACAAAACTTCCGCACGGAAGTATTTAGATTCTCATGTAGTTATTGTTCTGAAATTTTTACGTAAATTAGATTGAAAACCAAAAGATACGTGAGAAAAAGTTCACAGAATGGTTAAGAAATAAATCTTTACAAAAACGTTATGAAGAAGAAATGAGACGACGTGAAAATGAAGAACGAAATTGTCTAACTGTTGTACATTCTAGAAAAGCATGTGAGAAGGCTTTTAAACAGTAAGTCAAAAAAAAAAAAGAAAAAATACCAAGTTTTTGACTATTTCCGTAAAACAAGTGAATATAGTTTTGCAGTATCAGAAGTGCAAAAATTAATGAGTATACATAAGAAAATAAATAAATAACCAGCATATTGTGATCACATTAACATGACAAGATTAATTTAAGCTATGTTCTGGTTTTGGCAATTTCTGCCTTACCAAATAATACATGATCATAGAAATTCCTCCTTTTGTATACGTGTATTCGGTTGGATTGAAAAAAAAAACTCAAGTTTATTTATGTGTACTAACGACCAGAGACTGACTGTTAATGACAGATGCATTTACTATTTGTGAAATTCCAGATCCAAAAAATCATTTCTCTAGTACATTCCCTCATCTATGATACTTTCTTCACATTTCTTTTTTTCTTATTTTTATCAAGTGTGACAAGTTGAACTATTATTATAATATTATTATTGCTCCCTTGGGTTCCTAGTGGAACATAGGTCTTCAACTGCACGTCTCCATTTGCTTCTGTCTTCTGCTGTACTTTTCACCTGCATCCATGTTAGTCCATACTGTTTCAACTCCTCTTCATACGATCTCTTCCATGTCACCCTTGGACGTCCCACTCGCCGCTTCCCTTTTGGGTTCCACTCGAAGGTTTGACGCGCGATGTCACCCAGCAGTCTATGCTATGGTAAAAATTCAATTCACTTCATACCGAATTCAGACATTTAAACTGACTTTTCTTTACTGCTTTTCACAGTCAAATGACTCCGGAGTATCGTGAAATGACTGAATACGCCAATATCAGTAGGCTGACGTAGATTAACCTATAGTTTATGCAAATCAAATTACTTTTTAAATCTAAAGAAGTACCCAAACCCTTAATGAATAGAAGAAATAATGCGTATCAGAATATATTTTCTAGGAAATGTGGCAGCTAAAATCAGTAGGCATCTGCACAAAGCTGTGTGTGCTAATTATCTGTTCTTAAAGTATATCAAAAAATAAAAGTGAAACTTCTTTTTTTCTTGTTAGGTGGCTACGACGAAAAAATCGTGAAGCTGAAGAAGAGGTAAAAAGAGCAAATGAAAGGATGAAAATAACACGAAAATTAATGCGAAATCACTATAATTCCCAGAAGCTTCTGCAGAGTATCCAAAAAGCTGGTCTATTTGAAATTCTATGTTGATCAGAAACTATCAGTATGCAACTGATTATCAATGAGTTAACTGTGAGATTTATAGCGATTCTAATCTCTGGAATATTTTACATTCACTTTTATAACACATACTTGGTGTCTTAATTTGCTCTATGCACAACACATTCTTCAGTTATGTCATAGTAAATGAACACAAAAGCATAACACTGACTGATTTGAACTAGGGGTTAAGCCTGAGCACATCGAAAGTTACAGGGTACCGTAACTGCATAAACCTCACGTAGTTTACTAGTTTCTTGGCCGGTCCGAAGACCGGGTTCAGAGGGAGGTTTGGGCGTGGGACTAGCAAACCTACACCACAGAGGCTAGCAAACTGCTAGAGAAACTTCAACGCACAGCAAATCATTAAGAGTACAAGACATTGAAATAACAGTCTTACTCCTCGCTGGAATCGCAGAGGCGAAATAATACAGCCAGCTGGTGAAAGCCACATTTCGGGAAGCCAGTCAGTCAGCCAGCCAGCCAGCTAGCCGATGTCTCTTCCACAGATGACAGCAAGAATAAGAATGAGGACGTGGAATGCACGTACATTGCACGAGACTGGCTTGGAAGGCTTCCCAGGTAGTCAAAGAAATGTGAAGGTATGGCGTAGAAGTTCTTGGTATGTGGGAGAGCAAATGGAATAGATGTGGACTGTCAAATTGTCAACTGGAGAGTCAGTAATCTACTCCGGTCTAGTCACACAGACGACTACCACGAGCACACTGAGCCAATCAGTGGCTATCATGATGTCACCAGTGGAAGCCAAAGGCCTAATCCAATGAGAACCGATTTCCTCATGAAGGATCATGACAGCAAGATTCAACTCAAAAGAAAGGAAAGGAGGGAGGGAGGAAGGAAGGAAGGAAGGTTACAATTACCATGCACTGCTAAGCACAGTGCTACAAACAACCAAGCGGAACAAGAGAAGGAGGAAGGTTTCTACAGACAGCAAGGGACAACATCCCGAATGGCGACATCGAAACTCTTATGAAAGTTATGAATGACAGCAGAACTGGGAGCAGATAATACAGGAGGAGAACTCATCATGGGTCGAGAGGCTCTCTGTCGTCGAAGTGAATGACAGCTGAGAAATCTCCTCAGACTTCTGCACTTTCAGTCGTTTCATGATCGGAGGCAGCGTCTACAAGCCCACGAATATACACAAGGCCAGTGATATGGATTTCACCTGACGGACACACCACAAACCAGATAGACTTCACCGCAATGCTGCGTGCAGTGTCCAAATATTTACCAACCTTATTCAACAACTGGCTATATAACAATCCCACCTGTCAGGTGATCCACAATGGAAAACTCAGCGAGGCGTTCGAAGTGAATAGAGGAGTAAGAAAAGTGTTATGTACTAGTCGAGAATTTAATAGTCCTGACGCAAGAAAGACGGAAATCAGAAGACCACTAGGTTTGCGATGATACTTCTATTTTCCAAACACAAGGAGAATCAATGTCACACAAGAGTGTGAGAGCAAAAATATATGAATGTCCGAACAAGTGTGTGAGCGAATATTCAAAATGAACGAATCAATAGACAGCCTTAACATGATTGGCTAATTATAATGGAATATCGATCCATATATACATAGCAAAATATATCAGACTGTCAAACAAACACACATATTATATGGATACATATCACCAAGAATAGGCTGTCAAACAAAACATACATATTATATGGATATATATCAAAAAGCTAGCTCCTTCCCTATTATCGCTGATATTCGTAATAGTGGTGGACTGGATTATGCAGAAGACTGTGTCTGGAGAGCGAGGAGATAGTAGTACTTTGGACCACAGATGAGAAGATTCTACAAGAAGATCTGGATTTCGCTCTTGGATGATTTATGTCTAATGTCACATAGACTCGAAGACTTGCAGACAGCCGAAAACCAACAAACTGGCTAAAGAAGCATGCAGGGAAGACAGGACTCCAGGTGAACATAGAGAAGACGGAGGTGATGAAGATAACCCGCCAACCAGAGCATCAGCATCAACAACAAAAACCACCACCAGTCACCATCAACGGGAGAGATTTAACAGAGGTTACTTCCTGCCTTCACTTATCTACGAAGCCAGTATAGTTTCAACTGCAGGCAGTCAGAACGAATGAACATTTCAAAGCCAGTAATCCAGAATCGGAAAGGTAAGATAATCACGCCTTCATCAACCTGAAACCAGTTTGAAAATCTTCTGCACTGCACTCCGCCTCAGCATAAAGAACAAGATTCGGATTTTCAACTCCAATGTGAAGTAAATCAACTAATGCTTCTCTACGGGTTAGAAACTGGGACTGTGTGTCACAAAAAGGATTCAAAACAGGTTACGGACTTTTATCAACAAAGTGAAGATAAAATGGCCAATTAGAATTAGCAACAAGAAACTTTGACTAGGAACAAACCAACCAAGAGCCGATCGCCCAACAAATATGTAGGTTGCATGGAGGATTTGATCATGAGCTGACATCAGTTAGAGAACCACTGGAAAGCCTGGGAGTACTGGACAGCTGTTTCGTCCTAGTTTGGGACTCCTCAGCAGTACGCACCCACCGGGATTCGAACCCAGGACCTTCTGGTTACAAGGCGAGCTCGTAGACCATTGAGCCACTGGGACCCGATCCAATGGTCCTTGAATTCTAACTTCTGCCAGTTCACGACATAGCGCGACCACTTCGCAATGTCTTCTTCGATGAGTTACTGCCTCATATTCAACCTGCTGTACCCTACTGGTCACGGCTTCCCACTAGAACCATTGAAGACATTGCGAAGTGGTCGCGCTATGTCGTGAACTGGCAGAAGTCAGAATTCAAGGACCATTGGATCGGGTCCCAGTGGCTCAATGGTCTACGAGCTCGCCTTGTAACCAGAAGGTCCTGGGTTCGAATCCCGGTGGGTGCGTACTGCTGAGGAGTCCCAAACTAGGACGAAACAGCTGTCCAGTACTCCCAGGTTTTCCAGTGGTTCTCTAACTGATGTCAGCTCATGATCAAATCCTCCATGCAATCAAACAAAATCCCTACAACAAACCAATACTTAAAAATATGTAGGTGTTAATGGAGATGGACAGGGCACACACTGAGGGGGCAGCCGAATGATAACGCACGCCAGGCCCTAGAGTGGAATCCCAATGGAAAGCGTCGAGTGGGTCGTCAGTACGAGGTTGACTTGGAGGAGAACCCGCGAGATGATAGATTATAGGCAATCGTGGGCATCAGCTGAAGTGGACGGCAGAAAACAGAACAGAGTGGAGATGTGTTTTTGAAGCCCTATGTTTCACTCGGAACGGAAAGGAATAATAATTATTAGTGCAGAATATACACCCTAGTCTTCGACTGGAACGATTTACACTTTCCACTCCACACCTTGTTCAGCGAGTGATAATAACGCACTACTTAACTCAGCATGATTTACTACTAGTTGAAAAGCCTAACAAGTGTACAATAAAATAATTCAAAACACGTAGAAGGATTTCAAGTGTGATTATTTATTTTTTAAAAGAATACAAAATTATTTAACCAATATCGTTACTTTTTAAACCTCGTGAGAACAAGGTTAATCCAGCTATGACATTCCAATGGAGCTAAAAGTCGATAAAATTCGTCTAAAAAACAAATCAGAAACAAAGAAAAATCGTAACAGTTCATAAAAGAATGAATATAGAACAAAAGATCGAATAACACAAGAACTTATAATAACTAAATTATGTTAAAAAAATGACTACTTTCAAACTTCGTTGAAAATAACCTATTGGATATTTACCTTATATAGCAATAGAAAGCAGTGGGAACAAAGAAAATTCACACGACTAAACCAAGTAGTTTGTTTTTAGTGTTATCCGTTTTTAACCTTTCATTTATACAATATAAAGTTCGAATCACTGAAATTTTAACTGTCTGTTTTCGACATAGAACTTTGCACATATGTGCGGAAGTTCAAGTCGCCACACTCCCTCCTTGTAGCACACAAAGCAACAGAAGAAAGTACAAGAAAAGCATAATAGAGACAGTAAGCAGAGGTGTGAGACAAAGGAGGAGTAATGACGAAGAACAAAGCAGTTTCATTGGAAATCATAAGTCACAAGGAGTGGATGCATCTGCATTAAGCATTGAGAACGATTTGAGCCATGTCACCAATTGTTTCCAACCATTTGTTTCTACCGTCCCGAGGACCCCAACCAGGAAGTCTACACCCTCCTACGTGGCTTAGACTAACTGTTGTAGATTTCACTGACTGGTGCCATGTTTTTGTTTGACCACCACTAGCTCTTTTCCAGCCTGACCCTACATCCGCTAACATTGCTCGTCGAGGAAGGCGATGACTAGGCATACGTAACACATGTCCTAACCATCTCAGTCTTTGTAATTTCACGACTTCGTCGATTGATTTCCCCTGTTTACCTAGAACTCGACGCCTAACCTAAATATTGCTCACCTTATTATGCCACTTCACACGGGAAATAGAGCGCAGGCACCTATGATCAAAGACAGCTGGTCAGGCTTTTCATGTCTTCCACTCTCAGTGGCCAGGTCTCGCTCACAGCTGGGCATAAAGGAGGACGGAGCGGACTGATGAGCAGTACACCCGCCCTCTGGTCGATAGTCGAACATCTCGTCTACGCCAGAGTCGGCGTAAACTGGCAAGTGCGAAACGAGCCCCCTGTATCCGTACTCAGCTGAGATTTCGTCAGAGATCAACCCGTTGGCACTGGCTGATGGTACTTCCCAAATAAGTGAATCGGTCAACGTGCTCTACCACTTCACTTCCTATTTTTAAACTAGGCGTCGATGTAGTCCAGTCCTATAACATCATCTTGCATTTGGCGGGAGCGAATCGCATGCCAAACATTCGTAGATTGCGGCTCAAGGTGTTTAGAAGACTCTGCATTTTGTCAGCGTCCTCGCCTAGGAGGACTATATCGTCTGCATATTCTAAGTCAACGATATAATCTTAGCTGTCATTATTGTCACGATAACTCGATCGGACGTTGCGACTTCCAACTGTACAGTGAAGACCATTGTTTTTAAATTTATCACTACCTAACCAAGCTGCCTGTTGTCCTAAGACAAAATGAAACAACGATTACAACTAGCATGGTGTTTAAGTAGAGCGTCAATTTGATCGGAATTATTTAGCATCAATTGGAGTAGTAGGTGCCTGTAGTCCTGAAGTGATAATTGTAGGTTTTCAAACATTTTATAGATCTTTATAAAAAGTTAGAAAGTATCTCGTGTCATCAGTAGAGTGAAATTTAGTTGTGGCAAAAGAATCTAGAAACTGTCACAACAGGGGTTTTATCAATACACAAATAACGGAAATCCTTTAATCTCACTGAAAAATGAATAGCACGAATATGCTTACTATCTTCTTCAGTCCACACTTATCGATGACGAATGTGTTGTTCTTGATAAAGCAGTTGTGTAAAAATACAATGATCCGGGTAACAAACCAGTATGTTTTACTGGTGCCACTCTGCAGACTTGTGAGCTTAACATTAGTCTTATTATGCTCATAAACACCAACCAAAGAGTGACAGCATTACACAAATAAGTATTACTAAGTATACAAATTGTAGTGAGCGATAAATAAGAAACTAGATAATTCATCTCAGACCTATGGAAGGGTTGCGAAAAGGTTGCGCATATATGTTTTACGCAACCGACATCAAACTCATTTCATTCGCGTTTTCTAATTTCCTTAATTATTACTTGTTTAAAACGCAGCAAAAGTTAAACCTTTCTCAATATACATTAAAATAAGAAGGAAAATTGAGGGAAATGAGTAGAGCAAGGGATATATATATATATATATAACTTGCCTGAACTTAGGTTTCTTATACGTCCACTAACCCAACATATCTGCATGAACTCAGCTAAGCGGATGATCATCAATTCTAAAAAGTTCATACGCTTTCCTGATGAGCGCCGTTTACGTAGAGAGCGAATTAAATTATACTGTTCATGAACTTGAGAGACCAATGATTCTAAGTAGTAAAATTCTTTTGTGTATTCCATTTTTCGTGAACACGTTAAAAGCCATGTCGAAAATCCAAAACCCCCAGCACCTCCACTACCATGCCGATGTGCAGCAAGACCGGCAGGTTCAGATATACACTTGAAAATATGCAGAACGACAAGGTTGAATTTAATACAGGAATATGAAAAGACTACAGTTTTAGATCAGTCTCAACAGTAAGTGAAATCAACAACAGTTTCACAATTTTAATGAGAAAGATAAAAAATTATTATTACCTGTAAAAGTTCATAATGCAGACCTGCAACATAGTCATATGTCAGATTGTTTTCCGGTCTTGGATCACCTCGCGAACTAAAAAGAGTAGCAGAAAAAGTTGCATAGTTATTATCTTAACAGATAGCGTGATACAGTATTTGATCACCCAAAAAATGTGGTGATTTAACATTGATACAGAAAATTTTAAAACCAAATAAAAGCGTCGTCACATCATTTGAACCACTGGTTGAAATATACTATACCAAAAACTTCCGTTTGAAGTAATAAGCGCTTATAGAGACTTGAAGTCAAAAAGTATACATGAGGCAATTATTCAAAAGTTGGAATTCTTGGAAAATACAGTGAATCTTAATTATCTTTACTGATACTGAGGAATTAGTTATCCAGTTAACACATCGCTATTTTACTTCAACACATTTTTTCACATAAAATTTAAGCTAAAAAATTACCATGTTATATAAGATAGCGGCTCAAAAACACTCCACCACAATAGACAGATTAGGAGAGGTGGTTGAGACATTAAAATCTGATCAATCGGAAAGCGGAACTGACTACAGAACTTGTAACGTCTAGCCATACTGAGCCAATCAATACATGTCCAGTTAATAGGTAAATTAGTCCCTGGTTGGTGAAACTGTTTTGGAATGCGACCGAGCCGTAACCAGTTTGTAACGCAGAATATAACTTCAGGAGGAGGAGGAGCTCTGATTGTTGCATGAGCGAATAAGTTGTTAACACATGATTCTGAAGTGTAAAATTAGGAAGGTATAAGAGATGAAACGTGCGTCATGTCCATACAAAATACTTTGACAAATACAGTAATATCAATCAACTCTATTAAAAGTATAAATCCCTATGCAAAGCACAAATATTTCTTTACTGTTACACCTCAGTCACACCAACACGTCACTTAATAATGTGGACTGGCTGATTCTCATTAAAAACTGAATTAAGTGGCTGACTTCTGCAGCTATTTTCAAAGAATACCGTATGAACAGAGTTAATGAAGCCAGTGATTACATTTTTAAATTCGTATTTATATTTACAATGCTATGTAAACCATGAACCAGAATAGAATGTAAGGCTTTTTCAAAATACACCATACAAAAGTAGAATCAGTAGTCAATTAATCATATAAATTTTGATCGAAACCTCCAAAAAGTAATTAAATTACTAATGTTTTACACATACTCTCTTTCTTGGATAACTGAATTACATTAAGTATATAAATATGAAGCAGATGAATACGTTTTACTTCTGTTGATCGGATATACGAATTCCAATACATCAGGCGATAAAATTCATAACGGACGTAATTAAAATTTGTCTGTGTATTAAGGTTTGTAGTGTTTACACAACAATATTTTTATTGTACATATTTTGAAACTAGGTGTAGGAAGATAAGGACAGACTTACAGCAGAAGTACATGGTGAACAGGACTTACAAACTCGAACTAGTAGATGAGTAAAACAAAAACTAAATATTTGTTAGTGAAAACAAAACAGATTAGATTAAAGAAAGGACTCTTTTCAGTGAGTTTATTTTCATTAGCTATCCAATCGCATTTGTATACAATTTTTCACAAAAGATGTTATCAAAAGAGATGAGTGACCGTAATCATAGTTGCTAATACTAATCACTATATCAAAGAAAGTTAAATAAGGGTGTCAGAGTTGGGTAAACAGATAAATAATTTAATGAGTTGTAATCAAGATGTTGATAGAAACGACGGAGAATGTGATATTACGTAAGAGTTCAAAAGAAATACAAGAGTTGCAAAGAATTATGAAAAAACCAAGTTGGTAAAAAACAACAGACTTTGGTTTGTCCACCCGCATCCTTAGCATTGCATTCAAATAGAGAATTCAGAACTCTGCATGCAAAAAAAGAATTATTCATCTATTTCTTCTATCCTAGTAATTACCCTGTTATTTCTCCTGACCAAATTTTTTAATAACTCTTGTATTTCTTTTGAACTCTTACGTAATATCACATTCTCCGTCGTTTCTATCAACATCTTGATTACAACTCATTAAATTATTTATCTGTTTACCCAACTCTGACACCCTTATTTAACTTTCTTTGATATAGTGATTAGTATTAGCAACTATGATTACGGTCACTCATCTCTTTTGATAACATCTTTTGTGAAAAATTGTATACAAATGCGATTGGATAGCTAATGAAAATAAACTGACTGTAAAGAGCCTCTTCGCGAAATAACTGTTTTGTTTGCTTTTTCATTAGTGCCTGGATGAGGGCTATTGATGAATTATTAAACGATAGAGACAACATTTAGCTACCGAATTAGGTTAAAACTTACGTCACGTAAAACGACTGTTTTATAGTATAAGTTATAAACAGTCATTGCTCAGAGTAGTTAAGCAAAATTACGACTGCTTGAAAGTAATGAAAGCTGAAGTCATTCAGTAAGCTTATGTAATGCGAAACTGTGAAAATAATTACACCAGCCTGCTTGTAATATTTTGAAGACTGTAATAATCACCGGTCTAAGTAAATGTTCTAGAAAGTTCTCGCCATTCAAAATTCCTAACACTGGCCTTTAAACCGCTATCGGTCGAAAGGGGTGACATGTATCAAGAAGTTAACAAGAACCTACTAATTAAATATGTTCTTTCAAGCGGCAACCAACTATATTCTTCATTTTCATGGTGTCTTGTAAGTGAGTACTTTTTAGATGATTAATAACTAGTTTTGAGTTAATCTCAGTTTCATATTTGACTGCGGTAGCTGTTACAACTATTTTGCTTACGTCAACCTGTTTAGGATGACCCGATGGTCACTACCAAACCATACGAGAAAGCTAACACATTAAAGCATTGTCAGAATACAGAGGATTGCTGCAGAAGGAACGACAGCCTTGTATTCAACTCACATGATCGGTAGCTGCAATAATTTGTGCTCGAAACGTCATCAGTTAATACTACCGTACAACACTGTAAGATAAACTTGGAAAAGAGTCGAGTCAAGTACTTACTGAGACTGGGACGATATCCATAAACTATAGTTAATCCAGATAGAAAGGCATCTGTGAATGGAGGTGATATGAACGGGATGTTGTACAAAGGATGGTCAATGTTTGCATTTTCACTCCGCGTTATATCGCTTTCTGACGTGTTTAAAGTGAGAAACACAGGCAGACCTCGTACACTAAGTAAGTCTGATATAAGCGATGTGATTAACGCTTCTACAAATTCATATGCAATCTGAGGGGAACAATTTGGATAATGTACAGGAGGGCAACAATAGGACTGAGAAACTCGTATCTACAACAAAAAAATATGTTCATAAAATAGAAAATACCAATGGGGCGATCAAGACCATACAAGCGAAATTCAGCTAAAAATCCCTTTATCAAAGAAATCACAATCACATCAGATACTATGGCCTCACTCCTTCACGAAAATTAAACAGTTAGATGTCACTCCGTTATCGTAGTAACACAATTTGAACAAAACTACCAGAAATAGCTTTAAGAGCAAAATTGAAAATTATGAATTTACGCAACGCTTAACGACACAAAGGAAGAAAGGGTTACATATTAGGTAAGATTAAAATTTCATTGAGTGAGGAGAAACGTAGTCGAATGTCCATTTAAGAAGCGTGGAGGGTGAGAAACTATATAAAAGGAACACGTGAGAGTGATAGTAGTGAATCAATTATTAAAAATAAAAGCAAACTAATTATTAGGAAACTAAAAATTACCGGGAACGATTGACTAAGAGGTTAAGACCATGGTAGAATAAGAGATTGGAAAACTTTTTCTGTACACAGGGTTCGGGGTTGTATTGACGAGTCTCCAGTGCCTCCACCATATACAAAGACTGGAACCTAACGCCCTTTGTACCATTCGGCCTCACCTCGTAGATACTCTTAAAAGACGACTCTGGTGGAGCTGCGTGGCCTGAGTTCACCAAATGCTAATAATATATATATATATATGATTGTGCGGCCTAGGAAAATGATTTTGTCCGACAAAGAAAATATTCTGGCATGGTTAGCAAGAGGATAATGTAGGACAATTATTAGCATTTGGTGAACTCAGGCCACGCAGCTCCACCATCGACTACGTTTCTCCTCACTCAATAAAATTTTAATCTTACCTAATATGTAACCCTTTCTTCCTTTGTGTCGTTAAGCGTTGCGTAAATTCATAATTTTTAATTTTATTTGTCAAGGCACTTCTCAGTAATTTATTCGAAGTAGATATTTTTATTTTTGATTTACAGCTTGATTCCACACTGTATTTTTGGTACAAGTATGGAATTTTCAGCATGGATATCGGTAGCCCAAATTTTGCAGGCCGACCATAGATATCAGGTGTGCGCCGGCGTGGGCTCGAACCCCGGACCATGTGCATGGTCGGCGAGAATCCTAACCACTGTGACACCGACGCACATGCATTCTCACAGAAAAATGTCACAGTAATTTCCTGCAGCCTACAGTGTACGGAAAAGATGATTCGTTGAAATCTTTATTATTAAGCGGACTGATTTATATATACTTGTATATAAGCCGTAATGCTCGACTTGCATTACTTCCTAAATGAATCTAGCTTTTGATTTGAATCATATGTAGAAATATTGAGTTCGGTTGGTGATGCTCAGAGAGCAGCTAGAAGCGATGTTTGAAGAACATAAGTGATATGACTTATGAATACGCAAATTACATTCACTTTTTGCTGAATTACAAATTAACACCACCGTTAATTTTTCATTTCTTTTATCATGAATGCTTTATATCACTCATACAACTACAGCTGCTCACACATGAACTGATTTTTTACGTTCAGATCAGTTACTCACATATTTCTATTTCATTTTTTCATGAGAGTGATTATACTTCTCTGTCAGTAAGTATATGCGGCAAACACTGGCTTATAAGCCCTCTATATGACCACTTAACTGATGATGAAAGTTAGGATACGCCACCACAGAGGGTATGCATAACCGAACCATGTTATTTTCTGAACTAGCATGATTACCTCTGCCAAACTACCTCAATACACTGCAGAATTTTTTTGTTCTAGTTCTCATTTCCTTTAGTTCTGCTTGGCTGACAGCTTGGGACGTCACTGAGTTAAGCCACATCCTGCTAGTATGGAAAACTCATATAACTTGACCAATGAAAACGACAGCACGTTAAAGGCTTGGTGTTAAAACAACAAACGGTATTATCATATGACTAACTAAACCTGATCACTTGAAAAATAATTGTCGGATGAGGTTGCAGCCACCATAAAATAACACGACATTCCGGTGGCAAGTGGACATTTGATAGTACTCACTTTCAGCCAAAAAGAAACCAACTCAAGGACAGGAGATAATCCGAGACATATGGCCAACGAAGTCAGCTTCGATAAAAGATGCAAACAGTTTGCATTTATATCCCTGTCCACAGGAAAAACCTCGAAAAATAGGCGATGCTTGAGATCTTCGTCATTCTTTAGTAACAAATAAGTTACTAATGTATCCAATATATCAGCTTCTTCCAGTGGTCTAGGTTTCTAGATGACATAAGATAAATTTACCAAGTTAATAAAGATACACACCCTCCCGTCAATTAAAACGACATTTTTCGCCGCGAATGCCACAGCTTCCTGAGTGCTGAAGTCATCTCCTAAGCATGCCTCTAGAGAAAGCAAGGCTTTTTTACAAGCATCTGACGCTGTCATCTTAAGTTTAACAGCTCTGATGCATCTGGTATCCCTGGAAGTAGTGAGCTGTGTGTAAAATTGCCGAGATAACGGTGACTTTTAACTATAGCGCCCAAAACCGAAAATACCTCTAGAGACCAATCAAATGAGTCAGGAGTAAAAGTGCGTAATTCGAAATAAACAGCTTAATACAAGTAATGTACTGTTGAAAAAATGGGCAAATCTAAAGAATAGCAGTCCAAACCAAAACTATCTAGCGAACGGACAACTGACCTTGACAAGGACAACTTCGACCAATCAGAAGGCTCAAAAAGTTGGCGCACAATTGTAATAAGTCGTTTATATATATAGAATGCAATGTTAAAAAATAGTTACAAAGTACAACGTTCTCGTATATTTTGCAAAAATACCTTCCAATTTCTCACAGGAGTATTGATTCTCATGTTAAACTAAGTCCTGTAGATAAACTCACCGGGATAACTGTATATTATTGCATTTCTTGATCCAGTCACAGATCTGATGCGTTTTTTTAGAATACTCCAGAAACTTTCAATGAAATTAGTGTGAGTTCCATCAAAAAGGATTTGAAAACCACTTGTACGGTTGACCATTTGATGAATATAGCCCAGATTCGATAAATGACTGTAACTACTCCATTTTTCTGTATAATTAGTCGTCCAAGGCAGCACTTAGCGCTGGATAATAGGAAATAGTACACCTGCATTGCGATTAGGGATCGCCTAAATGTATCTTTTCTTGACGCTGGTGTCATATATCCCCAATACCTATTGCTGATTCACACGCAATCTCCCTCGATTAATAATAATAATAATAATAATAATAATAGCTTTATTCCAAACAGTATTTGTGGTACAGGTATGGAATTTTCAGCGTGCATTACAGTATATTACAGTATATTGCATCTAATTACCTCATAAATTATATAAGATTTTTAAAAATCAAAGATAAATAAATAAAAATAAAATAAATAAGTTATAAATAAATAAAATAAATAAATATTAGAAATTAAGAAAAAAAACAACGTAGAGTATTTCATTTCAAACAATGCAACACAGGATTTGAAATATAAAGTTGATGTGTGGTAGTAAATGAGAACAACAGTGTAGTAGTAACGAGGAAAGGAAAACAAAAACTAATGGGACTATTTGTTAGAGTGCCGCAGTAAGTTTATCGTGTCATACCTAACGGATTTCTCATCACATAACAGCTGTGCCAGATATGGTATTGTGGACTTTTTGTATTTGGTAGTCCTAGCATATAGCCGCCTATAGCTGCTTCTAGTTCTACCAGATGAAATGCAAGGAGATAGATGTGTATAGAGAGGATGCTTGGGGTCCGACAATATTGTATTTGCTAGTTTCTTACATGATATAATATGTCTATCTACAATAGTGTTCACCAGTTGGTTTAACGATTGTATTGTCTTATCAAAATTGCCTAAGGAATCTGCATATTATAAACAAACGATATAGGTTCTCGAGCAGTCCGTTCTTCAAACAGTAATGAAGACAAGATCCGGAGCAAATTTGCAACGCGAAAGGTGTAGAGCATCCATAATTACGTCCAAGCCAAGTTCACTTTTAACGGTTTGAAAAAATTTGAGCATTGAGTATATGATATTCATTATAATATAGATTTTTGTATTTCCCACTGAATGAAAAACAAAACGATATTGTTTTTACTGACGTTTATTATAATGAACATCCATAATTACCTCTGGAAATAACAGTCACCTGATTCTTTGCTCAAGGTGACTTGTGCGTTCAAAGGTCATTTCGGTTTGGGCTGCTATTCATTAGGTTAGGCGTAATCACCTATACTAATGCAGCTTACAGTGGCTGCAATGCCGATACTAAATCCTCAACACACACACACACACACTGGGCACGTCAGGAAAACGTTAAGTAGGGACTCAATTTGTGTAACCGCGACAAGTAATCATGATATAATGATTATATGACAGGCGTTTGCTTGTAGGAGAGTGCAGAAAATAACTCGGACAGTTGTAGTTTGTCGCTTACTCTCTGTTTAATTTGTGTAAAAGTAAAAGAATAATTTAAAAATTATACTGAGGAAGAAGTTTCCGTGTAGTTACATGAAAATTATTGACAAAAAAATTTACCGAGCGAAAATTCACCTAACATGCCGGATTAGTCCAGCCTTACATGAGGGTATATCATGTTGTCTACTGGACAAGACTGATTTCTTTTGTCCATATGTTTCCAAGACTCTGTGAAAAGTGACACTATTATCAGGTTTTCACGTGAAATTTTGCATAAATATATGTTTTGAAGTGAATAGGACCACGAAGCTGGAGATGTGACAATTTGAAAATGTCGAAGTTCTCCACAAATTGGTTAGTTGGTCTATCACTGTTATTTTATTGCATATAACGCATTAGTACCATATAGAGTGTGAGTTTAACAGTAAAAATATGGTTTAGAGTGACTAATCAAAAACATCTACAGCAACCTACCATGTGAAAGTTTCTACTGCCACCCAGTTCAGAGAACCCAAACATACTAAGATATGAAACTCAACCGAATATGCAGTACTGAAAGTTGAATTGTATGAATTTCTGAAGGCAGTAAACTTTTAACGGTCGAAACAGCATACTAATAATCTTGATGCAGTCTATATTTTTTACTTGATACATTCACGCCCATGATGGTTTCTGGTGGCATGCTTTGGGTGGTTATCTAGCTGGGTTTGGAGGGCTGAGCATTGTCCAAGAAATTACACTTAGCTATGAGAGCATCTGAAAATTCTTTACTGTGTGGCGTTTTTGTGTGTTTCTCCCTCAATTGAATTTAATCAATCACGCATTAGCATTCATTACATTCACACTGTTTTCTTTAGCTCTCATTTGAAGATGGACAAAAGCAATGAATAACATCTGAAACTGCATGTGAGTTTATGACGACGATGAAGAGCTGTATATGCAACTGGAAGTAATCATTTTTCCTTTTCAGTCGGTATTTTTTCATTCACATGATACATCATGTTGAGTGAGACATTTCGTTAAAATTACTGGAATTAGGACGGTAAATAATTCTGTAAATTATTAGCCTTGTTGGACAGTTAATCTGGTGTTTAGATTTGTCTTTGGACTGAGCAGAACAAATACCCCAGCAGCTAGTATGAGAGCTTCTACACGTCGTGCCTTGCGTAAACCTCAACATCCACTACGAGTGCTAGTCTCAGAAAACATAGCTACGCCTTAGTCATCACCAACTTGTTTCATCCTGAAGAATAATTGCTTTCACACTATCTAGAATAACAGAAATTTGACATACTTCTTGTGACGTGAAAGTTTCCCATGAGCATATCACAAGAGAAGTGAAAATGACTGATTCTACGCTTTTATTCAAAATCTAAACGAATATTTCTCAACGCGAGACGGGAACCTGCATATAAAATACTCAAACTAAAATCGCAGCATAGAAGGTGTCAATGTAGTTGAAGGTTGAACGATCAATTCGTGGTTGTTTGCTCAAACCCACTTCCCCAATTTTTCGCGGAGGCATCAATACACCAGTCATCGTCTCATCGATCGCTGTTCAGAAAGCAAGTACAAAACCGTCAGAAACCTTAGTTGTAAAGTTGCCTATATGTTGGTGTCAGAATAAAGAATTCTCGAGTCGCCAATCTGTGTTCTGGTTTTTGCGTCCGTTCGTACTAAACGTTTCCGAGAAGCTTCGAGGAACAGCGTGAGGCCCAGCGTAGCAAGAGCTGGGCATTAACGGTTTACGAGACGTGGCTGACAGAGGGAGTTCAAAAAGTAGGGTAGTACAGAGCATTTTAATATATAGACAGCATAAATGACAAACAAGTAATCTCGTGCAGAAAGCCTTTCGTGCTTCCTACGGAAGAATGCACCAATTTTTCCCACAGGATCTGAATACTTTGCAAAAGCTGACCTCATGTTGCAATTCAGCAGTCTACGAAGGTTGGTGGTAGTTCTTTGCTTTAACACCGACAAAGTTGTCTGATCTTTAAACCTTATGGTTGCATAAGAAGCCAGTTAGTTAGACTGGCTGAACATACCTGGGCTGGCTGTCTGATGGCTTCAACCAGGAGTGACACCGGTGACTGCTGCCTTGCAATCCATCCTTCTAGACCTGGGCTTTGGCTACATCACCCTCTGATTAAGTAGCCTGGCCCATAAAACCTGTCGGCCAGATTTTCCTTAACGCTGCCTGAGTTAGGGAGAACATAACTCTTACTCTGTTCAAAGGTGTATCTATCAATTTAAATATAAAACTTGGGCACTGTGGTAGACTACAACTCCATTAAGGATAAGATTTTATTTTCATAAATCATACAGTTATTATAAATGTACAACACTGTGTGATTTATCAAAATAAAATCTTGTCCATAATGGGGTGTATCTGTCAACGATGAATAAACGGAATGAGCAGAATCCATTTCGCCGACCTTTGTTTCAGTCCATACGAACGGTGGTACTGCTGAGGTTCAATTCACTTGATTAGCTTCATTGATTCCCTACACTAGCATGAAATGATGGGTCCATATGAGTGATACTTTCAGAATTCTTGAAGTCAGTATTGTTAAGTGAATTTCAACTTGCATTCGGGGAGACCCACAAACAAGAACACAGAAAACATGTGTCTGTGAAGCGAAAACAAAGTGGCATGCACATGGTCCTTAGTGTGCTTGGACACTACGTAGATGCCGACTTTCATTAGAAAGGAAAAATTCAATATACGCTGCTGAGTCAGTATGATTTAAATATTAGTGAAGGCTGTGAGATCAGTAAGAAAATAATACTTACAGCTTACGTGTCGATATAATTCACAAATACTGATTTGTAAACAGTTTTCATCATCTCCTGGTGCTTTATCTGAAGAATGTGTTCCCAAATCTCCGTGAGTAGTTATCTTGCCTTCCTTCTGAAAGCTATGCAAGTATGAAATATGTATAGAGAGATATGGCGTTCAGAAAATCTTTTGTTGCCTACATTCATTTAAGATGGGGATCAATCCGTTTTGAATGTGTTTGTTTCAAATGCACTCCTCATAAATGCCTAGAGTTCTTATCATATTCATTATACGTTTGTTGCGTCAAATGTTTCCGCCTTTAAACACCAGTTGTACATTACATGACACTTTGCATTCTGTGTAAATAATGCCGTCTGTGTTTCACTGGACTGTTGTACACTTTTTACTAAACCCACATTTTATCACTAGAATCAATTTTGAGTTAAACTATTGCA